CCCATAACCATTTCCAATACATTCATTCGAAAATCCCTATTTTGATTTTAAACCAAAACTCTAGGTTTGTTCAAAATCACCTCAACTCCCAATATTTCTTACACATCAACAAATAATTAAGCTAAAACTCATAGAAGAGTGTAGAAAAAATAAGAGATGGAAAGACTTCAAAAGCACCGAAACCAAGTTCCAATAAGATCAAAATGGAGCTCTTAAGACGCACTACCTTTTTAACAAAGGTTCCCAGGTAGAGAACCTAATGGATCTAGATGAAAAAGTAGAGAGAATATGAGTTCTAGAGAGAGAAACTCAAGATCTAGGGTTTTGAAATGTTTTAGAGAGTGGAAGAGATGAAAAGGTGATGTAAAATATGGTTGTTATGAACAGATATACGTACAATTCGCTCGAGCGCAAGATTTGATGCTCAAGCATCAGTCACAATAAGCTATTCTACTCGAGTGTAAGAAGTGACACTCGAGCACAGAATGTACACTCCCAGTAGTTTTGCAGACAACATAACAACGCTTGAGGGCAAGAAAGGCCGCTTGAGCTGAGTCTGCTCGAGCGCAGAAAGATCTGCTCGAGCATAGAATACACTCTCCTAGTAGTTTTGCAGACCTGCAAAAATATTGAGAGTTCACAAAGCCTGCTCGAGTGCAAGAAGTGCTGCTCGAGCAGAGGAGTAAAATTCTAGGAAACAAGGGTTTGGAAACTAAATAACCGACCTGTTCCAAACGCAACCACAACAATCCAATAGCCAAATTTAAGGGGATACAAGGGAAACAAGATGTGAAACAACCGCCTTTTACTTAGCTGTTAATATTATGATTAATTTGAATTATGTATTTATTTGTGCATTATATGCTTATTTATGTGTTCTGTGCATTATGTTTGTTGATAGATATGTTTATTTATGAAAAAGACCTGTCTGATTCGTTAAATTATAAGGCTACAAATTAAATAATCAATTAGGTGGTTAGAGCCTAATTCACCTTAATTAGATGAAGTGGGGAATAATTAACTTAGGTTATGGTAAGAAATAATTTAATTTAAGTGGGTATAAATTAATTTAATTGAAACCAAGTAACTTAACATTATATATATATATATATATGTTTGTTTGGTCTCAAGAGAGGTGAGAGAAATATAATCTGAGAGAGAGTTCTAGAGAGCAAGAAGAGAAGGGAGGAAGGTAAAGGAGAAAAGGAGAATTACAAACAATTTCATCCAATTAGCCCATCAAGATAAGAGTTCTTCCTAATCTCTTGTATGAGAATGAATTTTCATCTTGAAATCATGGAATTGAGGAAGAGAGTACGAACTTGGTTAGTATAAGTTGTGCTAGAACCCTAATAGGAGGGATTCTTCCATATTTTAGCTTGAATTACTTGGTTTTGCATGATTCTAAGCTAGATTTCCACGGTTTTGTTGAAAAAATAGAATTTCCATATGCATAGGTGTTGTTTTCTCTTTAACCTTGAAATTGTTTATGAGATTGTAGAACTTGAGTTTGAATTTAAGGTTCTATTCTTGAATTGAGCATGGAAATTGCTTGTACACTATGTTTGTTAATTTTTGGCCTTTAATTTGATTGACTTTGGGTTTGATTTTGAGGAATTCGGAACCCCAAAAATAGAGCAGAAATTTGGTTCTAGAACACCTAGAACCGCACGTACGGCTGGGGAGCCCGCACGTATGGGAAGCACTGGCGCACGTACGGCGGGTAGGCTCGCACGTGCGGATAACAGGGGAGGTGCTGGGGGCTTTCTGCATAAAAAACACTTGGTGACACACGTGCAGAGAGGGTCCCGCACGTGCTGCTGTTTGGTAGCCTTGGTTTCACTTTTCTATGTCATTTACCTCACTATCGGACTTCCGTTAACGTGATTTACACCTGTAATTGATGCTCATTTGCATTGCATAAGCATTTAACGAGAGTGAAAGGCATTTAGATCAATCAATTCCAAAGTAATGGAACTAATAAGTTGATTGTATGGCAAATTAAGTATGCTACGCTTATGTCTGTTTGTGTAGGTCAAATGCCACGTTCCAATCACTTACACCACGGAACCAACTGTGAGTAACACTGATGTAAAGATATATTTAATTTAAAATACTTATTTCCAGCTTTATAATTATGCTTTGCCCTGATATGTTTTTCTACATTGAATGATGATTCTACTTCTGCTTACACTGTATATCGTGGCATCCTTAGCATTTGTTTATGCGATTACAGAGATCTCTGCCAGTTCCAATTCATGGAACTCCTGTTTACCATAATGATGGCCATCACATCTGATCTTCGGTCTTTGTGACCGCCTGTTCGGTCTTCTAGACCGCTTGTATTCATTGCTTTTGGATGTACCACGTAATACATTATGCTTTCTGTTTGTAGTAACAACCTGCACTATATGTAATTTGCTTTACATTATGATCATCATTCAGAACCCCCTTACACAGTTATTATTCACTGGGGGGGACGTAACTGACGATCTTGCCTCCGTTTTGGTCAAGCTTCCTTTTGCGCCTCTCGTCGAGGTTCCCATCTGTCAGAGCACTGGTTGACCTAGTGATTACCTCTTTTGGTACCTCCTACACATGTTGTGATCGGTCGTCATTGGTGTTATAGTTGTTGGTGATGGGAATGACTTATCTCTTTTGGTTGTGTTGTAACTATAAGAAATTTGTAATAATTGGGTGTACATGTGTATATATTTATATATGGCTACGCTTTTGTTTCATGTAAGGTCACAGCTCCTTGGACGTATTACTTTCTTATATAATAGCTTCCGCTAGCCCCGTTCATTTGCCTTGTTCAATTAGGCCTTCGGTAATCGCGGATTACTGGCCGGTTACGACACTAAATCTATAGGGGTGTGTTTGGGTCATGACAAGAGGTGAACAACAATATGAAACTATGAAACCTGAGTCCGGGATACAACAAGGGTCGGGTCAAAACTGGAATCGCTATAGATGCCTATGTATGCTTCTTGTTGTCCTCCTCCCTAAGCTTCTGGCTGATAGTAAGGTTGTTACGTGACATGATCTTGCACCTTCTAAGGCCTAACTTAATTAAATGGTCTGTGCCTTTGGTCTGCCATACGATAATGGCTTACTGTAGGCCTATCAAATGCAAAATTATCATACATTTGTGACCTTGGTTGCCCCCCAAGTCTTGGTCCTAAGTCATTTCCTCATCTCTGTGTATTCAAACACAGGATTTACAGTCATTCCCTCTTCATATCTTTCTTGAAGTATAGGAGGTTTGTAGAATGACACGTGTTCATTTATAGTTGTATGTTTTTGAGGCGTTATAGAAGGACCATAGTGTACCTTGTTTACCTGAGTCTCCTCTACAACTTTTCTTGACTGGCTGGACTTAATATTGGCTTTCTCAAACAAAGCCAACATGTCATCAACTATCACCTGGTTTTCATGTGCAGACATGAAACCAATTGTCTGTTGAGTGTGCAGCAGAAGAGCCCTCATTGGGTCTACAAGAGGACAACTTGTTTGGTCACAAAGGCCACATTCTGGCCATTCCCTTGGCCTGCTTCTTGTCCAGCCATTGAATGGCCATCATCGATGTTGTCTTTAACTCTTTCAAACTCACCATCAAGTTCCTCTCCATCAACAACCCTTTTCCCAGGGTCTTCAAGATCTCATGTTGTTTCTCTTTAGCCATCACTTCAAATTAGACAGGTCCCACTGGGCGTGCCAAAATATGTTAGCAAAAATCTGGTTTGGGTCAAATCGACAGAGGAGATTCAATAGGGAAACCAGTTTTCACAAACAACAATACAATTAGGCAATATGGTTGGTGTCCTATGCCTTGACAGTTTTAAGGACTTCTTTGGAGGTTGTAATGTAAACAAACAAGTTCAAACAAACTGAAATTCGATTGATAACACTTAAACTTGTCACTTAATTACAAGAATCAAATTACAAGTTCAAATAGCGTTACAATTGACATGGCCAATTTGGGTTACAAACACTACTCCTAGACTTCACACGAGTTGTGAATTTGGTTGAAAGTCATTTTCTTATTCAAATTTCCAGCTTTTATATAGTTTTACTGGCCATGCCATGCTACCACGTGTCCATTTGCTGCCTTCCCACATCTACCTATGATCTGCAATTACTGCAACTTCCTTTAGCCCTCTTTCTTCTTGAAGTTGCTATGTGTTACGCCCTCAATCTTCTTTCTTGGGCCACTAACTTAATGCCCTTGACTCTTAGATCTCTGCTGCACATGGTTATACCCTTGTTGACAAGAGATTTAAGTTTATGGCACCAACGCTTTCAGAGAAATTTTCCAGATTCATATTTAAGTCTTGTATATGCAATGGGGCCTCCACATATAGTTGTACTTGAGTCAAGTCCATGACAATTGGAAATCTTTGTTTTCAATAGGGTTAAATTATACAAAATTTTTAAGTACGTGATTTGTTTCAGTTTAATATTTTTAATTTTTATAATTTTTTTTATTTATTATTATTTTGGAGTGCCTTCCCAAATCATTAACATGAGGAGGTGCATTTTTAGAATTTTATTACAAAATGTAATGAAATCGAAAGATTGTGGACCAAAATACATCAAAATACATACTTTGGAGAGCAAAATGAAAAGATGTATATTTTGGGGACGGAAATGCAACCAAATTCATACTTTGAAGAACAGTGTATTTTGCCGTTTTTGATTTTGTTTAAACTTCATGTAAAATTATGAAAACACTCTTCCTCCAGTTATTATTGATTTTTGATGGAGTTAAAGTTAGTTGTTAAAATGTAACAAATTGTATACTTTAAAGACTAAAATTAAAAATCTAAAATGGAACCATTAGTGCAATTAATGTATTTTAAAAAGTACTGTATGACCCAAAATCATTTAATCACTTCTACTCTCATAAGAGCTGGAAAATCAGTTGGGAAGGTGTCCATTTAAGGCTCAACTGCTCGAAAGTTTAGAACTGCCAGCAATTCCAATAAATAAACACCAACATTCACAAATTGCACCATCTCTCTCTCTCCCCATTTTCATTTGGCCATGAGTGTTCTTTTCCTACTCGCCTTTTGTTTCATTAGGACAGTTTCAAGTTCAACAAGTACACAAAGGTATGACTCAATTTACAGCTTTGGTGACTCTCTTGCTGACACAGGGAATTTCCTTCTTTCTGGTGCCCTTGCATTTCCTGTCATTGGCAAACTCCCTTATGGTGAGACATTCTTTCGACAAGCAACTGGCCGGTGCTCAAACGGACGCCTCGTGATCGACTTCGTTGGTACCCCCTTCTCTCTATCATCTTCCTATAATATGATTTTAATTAATAGTATCGGGATACATATTAGTATCCAATAATATTAACTGATATTTAAAATCTTGCCTTGTAATTACAACATAATTTGTTTTTAATAATGCTCTACACGGGTGACATGTTCAGCTATGAAATTTGGTTATGAAATTGTACTTTCAAAATGCAGCTGAGGCATATGGTTTACCATATGTACCCCCTTACCTAGCACTTGGCAAAGGACAAACATCCAAACATGGAGTGAACTTTGCAGTTGCTGGAGCCACTGCACTTGATGCTAAAGTTTTCTATGACAAAGGCATTGGACACATCATGTGGACAAATGATTCACTTAGTGTACAACTTGGCTGGTTCAAGAAGCTCAAGTCTACCCTTTGCAACTCTAAACAAGGTAATAACAAATAAATTTTGTTTTTGGGGTGGGTGAGGTAAATTGCACTAACCTCCCTCCAGTAATGAAGAAATTACACTCACTCCCCTTCAATAACAACAAGTGTTAATGGAGATGACAGTATAATAAATTAAAATTTTAGAGAAAAAAATTTAGAAACAAAATAATATTTAGAGGCAAAATATTTTAGTTGCCAATAGTGTCATTTTTTAGCCGACAAAATTGAACATTTAGTGATAAATTATTATCTTTTTTGGAATCAAAATTTTTATCTAAAAAAATAAATCCTTTTGGCACAAAATAGTTGTCTCAAAAAATATATTTATTAGCGACATTTCAAAATTTTCACTAAAAGTTTTTTTTTTTTTTTAAAAAACTTCTGAGATGAATTTTTAGCGACGCCTCTCATGACAACAGGAATTGATTTTCAAATGTTTTTCTTAACAATTATTTTCATAAAAAAAAAAAAAAGAGGCTTGATCCCTATAACTGTTTTATGCTATACTATGATATTATTATACTACCCTTAGATATTTTATATTAGAAAAATGTTTGAGGGCCCGAAATTGTTTGGCTCGAAATTGGCTCGAAATCCAAAACGACGTCGTTTTGGATTCTCTTACCGGTAACATGTAATAAAATTCTCTTACCGGTAAGATATATTACAATTCTCTTACCGGTAAGATAATTCAAAACGACGTCGTTTTGGGTTTCGAGCCAATTTCGAGCTTGAAATATTCGGGCCCTGTAGCAGCGTTGTTTATATTAAAAATGTATTGATATCAACTAACACAATTACCTTTCTTTTTGCGTAATGAATTTATTTAATTACCATAATTCTTCAAATAGTTAAATTATTTATACATAGAATATGAGTGCTCGGATGTTGGTGATATTCTTGGATATAAGGATAACGAAGGTAAAATAGGAGTTTTAGTTGATATCATCATATTTTTCATCCGTTTGACTTACGTATTGCTAACTGTTTGGGTCAAAATGATGGAATTTATATGTCAATGGATCATGATCTAATTATGCTACGGGTAAACTATCAACAAGTCATAATAGTTTGACTTAATTCTCATTATATTATATTGAAAATAAATTTTAGTAAAATTGTTGTTAAAAATATTTTTGTGATGATTTTTTTTTGCATATCGCTAAAAATTGACAATTATTGATTTTTTTGCTACGATTTTTATAAATTGTCACCAAAACTTACAATTAGTAAAGTTTTTCTGTGACAAATTTTTCAAACTGTCGCTGAAAGTTGAAAATTATTGACTTTTTATGTGACTATTTTTTTAAATTGTCGTTAAAACTTATAATTACTGACATTTTTTGGTGACAAAATTTTCAAACTGTTACTGAAAATTAACAATTAGTAACATTTTTTTAATAGTGTTTGATGAAAAATATCATTAATTATTACAGGACTTATTGGATAATAAGTTTACTTATTAGAACTTACACATAAGTTCCGTTATGATAAAATTGTGAAGTTAACTATAATTAATTCATTACTCGCAAAATGTCAGTATAATTTATTTAATTTTTTTGGTTTAATGATTAGTACCAAAAGATGAACAAAAAGGAGAAAAAATGATAAGACTCGAACTACGAAAGAAATTAACAATTACTAATTTATTTATATTGTGTTTGGATAATAGATTTTAGAAAATAAAAGAAAAATTAAACTTCTATTTTATTCATATTTCTTTTATTTTTCACTTTCTTTATTTAAAATTTTATATAAATTTATAATCCAAATACAGTCATAATGTTATTTATTGTATACATCTATCTCACATGAGCCTTACCTAGATGTGTGTCTTATTTAATTGGAGTTTTCTTAAGTGTGCAAGTGCACACCATGTGCCACTTACACAAAAAGTGTAAGTGTAAGGTGTAAGTATAAGTATAAGGTGTAAGTGTAAGGTGTAAGTGGGTTGCACATGGTGTGCAACCTCAAAAAAGGTGTAAATGTAAGGTTTAATTTTTTACAAAAGGTGTAAGTGTAAGGTATAAAGTGTAAGGTATAAGTTGCACACCATAACCAAACCCTATTTAATTTGGTCCCCAGAGTGTGACAACTACTTCAAGAAATCATTATTTTTGATGGGTGAGATTGGCGGAAATGATTATAACTATGCATTCTTTGTCGGTGGAAGCATTGAACAGCTTCGAGCTCTTGTACCCATTGTTGTTGATGCAATTGTTGCTGCCACAAGTGTAAGTCACGTTACAACATTTTTATTTGATTTTTTTTTTTAATAATTACAATAATTAAAATTTCTAAATTCAAGTCATGTTTCAATGTAATCATCTCATCACTTATTTTATTTGAATAGAAAGTGTTCATGCGGGAGTCATGTGAGCAGTCTACTCAAATTTCAAATAATACTGTGATGGGAGGATTATATTAAAATATAAGTTGATCTCTAATGACTTAATAATTACGATTAAGATATGAAAGTATTCACTCAAAAAAAAAAAAAAAATGAAAGATCAAAATAAAATTCAAATAAAAATTTGACAGTGAAAAATGTAATTTACCCTTTACATTATTACAATACCATTTGATAAAATTTTTGAAAGGATTTTTCATACAATTGAATGACATTTTAGTTAAAAAGGGAACAAGTCCCTTCAAATGGTGTTCATATATACCTTGTAAACTAGTCTTTTATATCGCGTTTGAATTTTGAATTCAGATTAGTCAAGTTGTCTGATCTAACATTCAGAGAAATATTTTTTTAAATTTTTTTTTTGATCTTATCGATTTTTAATTGGTAGATGGTGATAGAGGAAGGTGCCACGGAATTGGTCGTGCCGGGAAATTTGCCGATCGGGTGCTCCGCGGTGTACCTAACTTTGTTTCAAAGTCCTAACAAAGCAAACTATGATCAAAATGGGTGTTTGAAAGCACACAATGCTTTCTCAAAGTATCACAATGCTCAACTAAAACTTGCTCTCGAGAAATTAAGGCAAAAGTACCCGCACACGAAAATCATTTATGCTGACTATTACGGGGCCGCTAAGCGATTAGTTCACGTGCCTCTGCATCATGGTGAGTTTTTTTCTCAAAAATTAACATCAATTAATTGCAATTTACAAATAAAACATTATTTAAGACATCAGTGCACTCAAATCTGTTATCATTTAAGTAAAGGAAATCATGTTTTTTTGGCTATGGTTTAATTCAAGATTGGAAAGTCCATTAATGTCCTCATAATTGTGAATCTGAGTGAGTTAGATGCTTAAATGAGATTCACTATTGTGAAGCCTCTGTACTTGTACTTACATTAGGTTTCATTTGTCAATTATATATTTTAATCAAAAAATTAAAAAGTTATTATAAGTTGTCACATTACTCTCTCTACTTTTCTGCATATTTTTTTTTATTATAAAAAACTAAAAAATTACTAAAATAACATATTCTCAAATGAGGCCTAAATCCTAACAATTGCAACAATTGTAACCAAAAACAGTTTTACTTCAAAATACAGGAGACTTTAATGCAACATAAAGAAGACTTTCTCCTAAATTCAATATAATTTTTGTTAACATGTGCCTTAAGGGCATATGTTAATAAGATATTAAATGAATATATTCATTTCAATTTGTACAGAAAATAACACAACATTAAAAACTGTCTTCTATTTTTTTTTTTTTAAATTTAAATTTTATATTTATAATGAAACTAAAATACCCCTTTTGCTATGCACGTTTCTCCTCCCTTATTTTTATATATCTATTCACTTTCCTTCAAATTTAATGTTTTATGTTATTTAAATTTGGACGTGTTCCTTAGTGAAATTGTTAAAATAAAAAAAATATGATTTTTTTTTAAACATAAAATAATATTTAAAAATTTAAATATATGTTTATATTTATTTTTGTTAAACTAATTTATAAATTTTTAAAAATAAATTCTAAATACAAATTCTAAAAATTAAAATCAAATAAAAATATTTTGCAACTAACATTTTTCCAACAATGCCTTCATAACTATTGGTAGGGTTCTCACACAATATTAGGATCGGTTTTCACACCGAGGGAGACAAAAAAAAATATATACATATATATATATATATATATATAAGATCATTTTTATTTTTAGTTTATTTTATTTTATCACACTATGTAGTAGTAGTTAAAAGAAAGAAAGAAAATGTCTTATGAAAACAGGGGTATTTATGTCCCTATGAAAAGAAAAAAAAAAACTAGTCAAAAATATCCTAATTAATTTCCCTTCTACCTTTACATTTTCCATGCAAGTGGAGGGAGTTAATAATCATTTATTGGTTTCTTAACATGTGTTCTTAGGCATATGTTAATGGAAGCGGGGTCACTACTGTGCCCCTTCCGTTCTGTGTTCCTGTTGTGCCTAAAACGTCACAGTTTCATCTTCCTCTTTTTATTTTTATTTATTTTATTTTTTTATTTTAGAGTTTAAGGTTTAGGGTTTAATTCTTAAAATTTATTTTTTTTTAATTTTAGGATTTAGGGATAAAATTTATTTTCTTTTATTTTAGGGTTTAGCGTTAGGATTTAATTCTTAAAATTTATTTATTTTTTTGTTTTAGGGTTTAGGGTTTAGCGTTTAATTCTTAAAATTTATTTATTTTTATTTTAGGGTTTAGGGTTTAATTTTTAAAATTTATTTTTTTATTTTAGGGTTTAGGTTTAATTCTTAAAATTTATTTTTTTTATTTTAGGATTTAGGGTTTAATTCTTAAAATTTATTTATTTATTTTTAATTTTAGGGTTTAGGGTTTAGGTTTGATTGTTAAAATTTATTTATTTTTATTTTAGGGTAAAGTGTTATTTTTCATGCCAAAAAACATAGTGAAAACATGAAGAAGAAAAAAAAAGGGGGGGTGAAGCTGTGCTGTTTTACGACACAGCAGGAACACAGTAGGGAGGGGGCACAGCAGTGACCCCGTGTCCTATGTTAGCAAGACCCATTAAATATTTAAGGGAAGGGGGGAGTTGCAAGGACGTTTTTGAAATAAAGAAAAAAATGAGGGGCATACAAAAATTTTCATAGGGACAAATAAAAAAGCTTTTGTCAATGTGGAGCCTCTATACCTGTACTTAACTAAGTCAAAGCATTGCAACAAAGTTTCCGTAGATTTCTTTTTTATTTTTTTTTTCCGAAATAAAATATTTTCGGTTAAAACAAACTGAACGTAATAACAATAATGACGTGTTTATGCAGGATTTTCGAGTGGGGTAGTGAGGGCTTGTTGTGGAGGAGGTGGACCTTACAATTTCAACAATTCAGCAAGGTGTGGTCACACTGGCTCTACAGTTTGTGACAGTCCTTCAACTTATGCTAATTGGGATGGAGTTCACTTAACCGAGTCGGCTTATCGATACATTGCTATGGGTTTGATTAATGGTCCTTTTACTTCACCATCCCTAAAGTCCTCGCCCCTTTGAGACAACACTTCTAAAAAATAATTGCTACCATTGCAACAAATAAGTGCATACTTGAATCAATGATTGCTCAAATTGTAGTACAAAACTTGATTGAAAACCACCAAAAGTTGCAATGGATTTTCATTTTCCATGTTTTGTCTATCCAAGAACACACATTTGTGCCTTCAAATCATGTGCCAGACATGGAGCCATTTAATTACATTTACCACTCACACTTTTATTAAAATATCATTTTTATTTTTAATTGTGATAGTCAATCCTTAAACGTTAAGTCAAGTTCTAATGTCAAATGAAATATAGCAAAATTTTGATACAAGGGTTAGAGCTGCAAAGTGCAATTAACTCTCTCTTGTCCCTAAACTTATTCTTTTTTTTTTCATTTTTTTTTTGAGTGAAAAACAATTTCTAACGGAAAATATTTTTAATGAAAAGCTTTTTATTTATTTATTTATTCTATATCTGGTGATGGCAAAGAAGGTTGAGGTGGCATGGTAGCAATGATGATGACTACAGTGATGGTGACGGTGGCTCTGGTGTGGTAGAGGTGAGAATGGCGGTGGTAGTATGGTATTATTGGTTAGAGTTTAGTCTGAAAATGTTTTCTACTTTTTAAACGTTAAGTCAAGTTCTAATGTCAAATGAAATATAGCAAAATTTTGATACAAGGGTTAGAGCTGCAAAGTGCAATTAACTCTCTCTTGTCCCTAAACTTATTCTTTTTTTTTTCATTTTTTTTTTGAGTGAAAAACAATTTCTAACGGAAAATATTTTTAATGAAAAGCTTTTTATTTATTTATTTATTCTATATCTGGTGATGGCAAAGAAGGTTGAGGTGGCATGGTAGCAATGATGATGACTACAGTGATGGTGACGGTGGCTGTGGTGTGGTAGAGGTGAGAATGGCCAGTATGGTAATATTGGTTAGAGTTTAGTCTGAAAATGTTTTTTACTTTTTAAAAGTGAAAAATATTTTTTGTCAAATTAAGCTTATTTTCCGTTAAGCATGAAAAAAAATTCTATTAATTTTTATTTTCCATTATATCAAATGCCAAAAAATAAGGAAAATATTTTTTGAAAAAACTGATTATGCATTTGATAAAATTTTCTCAACTTTTGTGTTCCTTTGAAACCTTAGATACTCAGATTCATTTAAAACCTTGAAACTGAAACTGAAATTAAATTATATGGATTAAACTGTTCAACTTAAAATAATAAGAATTAAAATGAAATTTAAATCAACTTACAAGATTGGAAAATGTAATTTGCCCAAGTTTAAATTACTAGTGATATTTTACGTAATTCTTTATATCGTAATATACTAGATACCACATATATTCTAAACCAAACTCCATAAATCTAACAAACAAAAAAGCAAAAGAGGGGAGAAAATTGAAGAAGTAGAAGCACACAAAATTGCAAGTCCCAATTGGGCCAACAAGAACACCACCCGTAGTGCTATATAAATGAACAATTTTTTGAAAAACAAATTAAATTCTTGATATGATACTTGAATGGTTCTGATCATTTAATTTTAGTAGATTTCATTTAGTTTGTTAATTTTTTTTTTTATTTGTGTTGTATTTACCTAAAACATTCCATAGTAATTTATCAATTTCATCAATGACTACTTGAATTAGACCTATCTTCGTAGAGTAAGGCCTTGTTTCGAATTAAACATTTTAGTCAAAAAAGTTAAAAAATCACTATAAATTATCACATCACTCTCTTTATTTTTTTACACATATTTTCATAAAAAATCAAAAAATTATTAAAATAGCCTTTTTCCAAACAAGACCTAAATGTAAATAATGCATCAACCATTATATGAGAAAAAAGGATCACAACTCCTAAGCTTGAAAACAAGTATCAGTTAATTACTTGGTTTTGATTAGGCATGATTTGCATTTTTAGTAATTTTTTTAAATTTTTTTTATCCTTTTTAAGTGATTATTATTATTATTATTATTATAAGTTTCAAAAAGATTTACGCTTTTATTTTCTACTCGGATCAAAAAAGGAAAAAGAATTAAAAAAAAAAATTTTATTAAAAACAAAAACAATGCCAAAACAATCACCTTTTTTTTGGTGTGGCTTTTATTGATTTTTTTTTTTTGAGAAAATATCATTTTGCCTCTCAAATTATTATGCGAAAATTAATTTGGCACCCAGATTTTGCATTATTTTAATTTGACCTTTAAACTTTTTAAAATTTGATCAATTTACCCCCGCCGTCTATTTCCATCTACAATCAAATGGATTTTCCTAACATGACACCAAATTTCATTTAGAATTTCATTTTACCCCTCAAACTACATCGTAAAAATCAATTAGCCTCTCAAATATTAATTTCTTTTAAATATTTAATTAATCACTTTATTTGGTTCCAATTTTTTGAAAATTGAGTGTTTTTTTTTCTGTATCCTTTTATTTTCACTGATTTTTTTCTAACATTTTAAATAATTTTTTTAGTTTGTAGATACACTTAGGTCCCGTTTGGGGACTTACTTTTTTAGCCAATTAACCAAAAAGTTACTAAATTAGCCAAAAAGCTAACAACTCATACCAAAAAGTCAAAGATTCTCTTTTCTCTCTACTTTTTGCACATCTTTTCGTAATTAGCCAAAAAGTCATCCCAAACATACAAGTTTTTTTTACCTACCTTTTTACCCAAATAGCAAAAAAGTTACTAAATTAGCCTGTTCCCAAACGAGACCTTAGTACAATGTTTATGATTTTTTTTTAAAAAAAAATCCATTAAATACGTCAACTATAAAAAAATTATAAAAATTCAATACATTTTTGTATTATTGTATATTTATTGATTTTTTAAATATTTTTGTACAAATATTTATTTTTTAGGTACATCTAGGTTAGGTGTATCTAAAAAGTGAAAAAATTTGGGGTAAATTATGGAAATGGTTTCTGTAGTTTATACGATATGTTAATTTGGTCCCTGTCATTTTAATTTGTTCGATTTTACCCCTTAATTTTGCATACTGTGTGTCATATTGGTCTAATAAATAATGACCGCTACGTTTGGTGGACGGAAAGTCGTCACGTGCTTAAATGATGTGACAATTTGGTCTTTATAGTTTACACAATGTGTCAATTTGATTTCTGTTATTTTAATTTGCTCAATTTTGACAGTGACCAAATTGACATATCGTATAAACTATAGAGACCAAATTGCCACATCATTTGAGTTTTCGCTCACTAAACCTAATGGTCATTATGACACAATTCGTTAAATTAATGGGCAAAATCGAACACTTCAAAACAACAGTGACCAAATTGATACATTGTATAAATTACAGTGACCATTTGCATAATTTACACAAAAAATTGCTTAAAATATTAAGAAAATTCACAAAAAACAAAAAAACACAAAAAAATAAAATAAACTCAATTTTTAAAAATTGAATTCAGAAAATTGTAACTAAACAAAAATTTTCATCTCAAAAATGAAAAAAATTAAATTTGAAATAAAAAAACTGAGTATTAGTCTTGTTAAGTATTCTTTAGACTACAATTTTAAAATTTTTTACCCACTCAATTTTAAAATTACAATTAGTCAATTAATTCTATTGAAATTAATTTGGAAAATAAAGTAGTCACAATTGGATGCGCACACACACGAGTAGCCAAGAAATTTTAGGCTCAATTACTTTTTTCAGGATCGATTTGAGATAATTTGAGATTTAAAGAGAAAATTCTAAATGATGATTTATATATATATATATATATATATTATTTTTTGGCAAAGTATATTATTTAAAATTAAAAAAAATATTAAACTTATTTCTTAAACTCATGTTATTTTTTAAAAAATATATTTTAAAAACACGGCTAAATTTGACTTATAAAAAGCCTTCCCAAAACAATGTGTATAGGAAATAATTTTAAAATTATTTGAATTTGGAATATCTGTTTGAAAATACTATGAAAAAAAAAAGAAAAAAAAAACCTTCATAGTTTATACATTCAACCAAGTGTAACTTCTTATTATTATGAATAAAAAAAGAAGGTATATGGCATTATATTATTATTATGAGTTAATGTTACTTTTCATCCTTATAATTCGATTCAAATTTCACTTTAGTAGTTTTGATTTGAACAAATTAATCTTTACAATTTTAAGTTCAATTTCAATTTACACATAAAAAGAAAAAAAAATTACTACAATAGATGTTTTTCTTGATAGAATTATTAATTATAAATTCTATCGATGAAAATCTTCGTTTTGTTTGATTACTGAGCTACCTTTTAAAAATAAAGTATTTTCAAACAGTTTGAACCGTGGAAAGACGAAAATTGTTGAGCTAATCGAAGTGGAACAATTCTCTGAGTAAAATCTTTGAGTTTAATTTTAAATATAATAATGGAAGCAACACACAATAATATATATTAGGAAAATTTAGCTATGAACTCTTTTTACCTTTCTTTCATTGTTAAAAGGATTAAGAAAAAAATTATACTTTCTAAACCCACTTATAATTATAAAATCTTGCATAAAGGACAAAATTTATTATTTAAATATTTTATATGACTATTATACCCTCAGCTTCTGCATATATAATCAGCTTCGTCATCAACCATATCATAATCACCATAGTCGTGTCTTCGAAGCTTCAATAGAAGGTCGGCGGCACCATAGTCGCGTCTTCCAAGCTTCAGCAGATCAAATTCATCGAAACAATAACACTAGCAGATCATCATAATCAATCAGACAAATAACATAGCAGTTTCGATTACCAGAAATAGTTCGACATTGAAGGACCCAATCCTTATCTTCTGTTGGAGAAAATACCAGAAACTAAACAATATTATTGATAAATGATGCAAAGAAAATGAGATACAAATAGATCAGGCTGAGGCACGGATATCTCGTTTTCTTTAAGGAGATCAAGCCCACTGCGGTAGGAAGAATCCAAATACCGATGCAGCAGTCACAATACTATGACTTGTCCCCTCCAGGATACAACAGCCCGACCACTTGTCGTATGGTTCAGGCCAACTCTGCACAAGATGGTGAACCCAAAGCTCCACCAATAAAACACCCTTCTTTGCTAGTAATCTCTCTTGTATAGAAAATAGCTTATCTCTATAGATAGAAAAGAGTAGACTATATATATAGGCTATAAGGACCTTACAGTTACACCAAAAATAATGACCATTAAACAAGAAAATGGTTACACCAAAATAATGACCATTAAACAAGAAAATGGTTACACCAAAATAATGACC